TGTGTGTATGTGTGTGTGTGTGTGGTCCTGTGTGTTGGGCCTTGTGAATGTGGTTGGAATATGCAAATTAATTCCCCATTAGATGATTTTGCTTGTGGTAACATTAATAATACCATGCTTTCATAATTAATGGAATGTTCTGTGCTGTGTGGATGATAACAAAGACAACTGGAAAATGAAGTTCTCGAAACACTTGGGGACATGACTTGCTTGACTCGGCTGATTTGTGGTGCGATTTTGGCAGTTAAACATTCAGTTTGTATCTTGTGTCACGGCTTGCAAAATGGGTGACGAAAATGATATAAATATAGTTCGTATAACATGGAGTTGAAACTGAACGTGGTGCTTCATATCTGCAAGGAATAAATTAGTATGTCTAACACTTTTGTGGTAAATCGTTAAATGCAAGTGTTTGTAAAGGCTAAACAGAGATTGGAATTAAAGTGAAATATTGGTCTGATTTATGGCTAGTGGCATGATTGTGCTTTTCAGTTGTCTATCAATTTGTGATACTCTGTTGGGTGCTTCAAATAATATGAGACAGCCAATTTCTCCCATAACTTTCTCTGATTAATTGGAGTAGCATGTGCAGCTATGTATCAGTTTAAACAGATTAGCAAGTGTTTGCACTTCATGCTGCAAAAATGTGTAATGAAAGAAATAGTAAGAACGACAAAACTGTGGTAGATTTGATGTAATCGTTCGTTGAGTCTGAGCATAGTGATTATGGCATTTAAGTATCTAATACATGTGAACTAAAATGCAAAGCCGTCTGCATGCGAATTTTTATGTACTAATGTACTTCCCTTTTTTGCTTGTTTTTTTGTGTTTGCATTTGAGCTACAATTTCTATCAATAAACCCATTATTCCGTTCATGTTTTTATACTGCTAAGTGTTATTAATAAGTGTGTTCTGTTTTTCAGGGACTGTCTTAAATCATATCATCCTGGCTGCGTGAATGAAGACGTCTCTTTCTTGGAAAGCGAAAAAGATTGGGATTGCGGTGAGTGAACGCCTGCCCGAAATCAGTGCCAGAGGTTATATGCATGATTTAATATTTCTTCTGATAATATGATGATTTTGACAAGGTGTGATAGCATACAGTTACTTTTTTGTGTAGGATATGAAATGATTGATAAGTAGTTTTGGAAAAATTTGGGATATGGATTTACTGATAACTGGTGGGCATACTTTTTTGATTCAATGACGAGAACTAAAACAGCGGTAAGATCACATGTGCCTCTGTGGGATATATGCGCGTGGATATGAGAAGATGGATCATTAACCGAACTTTTCCTGTGATATTCCGCTTGTAGGCACTATTAAAGGTACACAATTAATAATTAAATCATGATGTAAAATTTTTGTGGATTTTGCATTAAAGTAAAATTTGAATATTAGGAAACATATGAACTGAAACCAAATCCATTATCTGATTTACAAATTAGACAATATACTTTTATATTACCGGCTTGAAGAAATATAACACAATATTTTTTATCTTTTAGTTTTGTTTTGTTTTCTTCTCTGTGTCTTTCCCTGAGGTGTATGAATAAAAACTGGATAGTAAGTGGGGCTGGCCTTCGGGGAATATGGATGCTAGCTTATTTTGTATATCACATTTGTTCACATCTTTTGGGCATTAACTACGATATACCAAACTACTTGCAAGTGGGTGCAAATTTTCATGACGTATTAGCTTGCCTGGACACATTGAAACCTTTACTTTTACATAACTATCTAAAATTCTCATTGATTATGGTTACTACTAGACATGCATTACTGATGAAAATAAATTGCACGTTGCAAAAATGTTGACACGGAAATATGTATGTAGAGATCATGATTTAGATACAAGGAAGATAAAATATTGAAAGAAAAAAAATAGAACATAAAGGATAAATGATCAGGGATATACTTGCATAAGAAGCCTAGCTAGTAGCTACACTGTATGTAAAATGCAATAGATGATGTCTAATCCCATAAATGAATAATATTGAATAAATCATCAATTTACAACTATCATTTATATGCAACTTTGCATAAATTATTAAAGGAAATGACATTGAATAAATCATTAATTAACAACTCATGTAAGCCAACACTCTTAGCACACATCATTATTATAACTTAAGATAATTTGCATGTAGTTACAATTTGATACTGCTAATATAAATTCCAAAAACTCCCAAAATATTTGAGCAATTTAATATACTTGAGGGGTTTCTTGCACTGATCCGATTGTCTTATGTCAAAAACAGGTAATAATTATTTTCTTTGAACAGTCCAGCTACATATCTTCAAAGATCACTTTATTGCGCCATTCACTCTTTTGAGTCATATTATCTCAGATAGCAACTTATTACGAATAATTTGATTTTCAGCATGGCATAATTGCTTCAATTGCGGCCGTGATAAATCTTCTTACCTTCATTGCTACACCTGCCCAAATGCTGTATGCCGGAAATGCCTTCCTGCTGGGCACATTTTATCGATTAAAGGTAACTATGGATTTTGCAAGCGGTGCCTAAAGCTCGCTTTGCTTATTGAAGAGAAGAAGGATTGCAACTCTGATGGGGTATGTTAACCATATAATCGTAAACCTGATGTCATTTTCTTTCTCTTTTTATTCACTTTGTGCTTCAAGAAATAATGCATGATAAATATATATGGTTTTCACATATTTATTATCCAGTTTCTTTTAATCTTTTGTTTGATCTCCATTCACATAATGTAGTTCTCTCTTAAAAATATTCCAGCTGTATTTTTTAGTTTAGGCTTAATTCACAAGAGTCAATACATATCCAGATTTCTTTAAGATATACATATATTATACATATATTCTCAAATTTCTTCTTCATGTTTGAAATTTCATCCGAGAAATATCATTGGACCAAATTATATGTGACTTCAATGGCCTAAATGTTTCTGTCTGCAGGAGATGGTGGACTTTACAGACAGGAATACACTCGAGGGCCTTCACATGGAATATTATGACATCATCAAAGGAAAAGAAGGATTCGAGCTGGGAGATATATACGCCGCAAAAGAGCAAGCAAAAGCGAAAAAGAGCTATCGGCCTAATTATGATGTAGAATCTGATGTAGAAGAGGACGATTATGAAGAAGATGAAGAGCATGTATCTGATTATGATGTTCTTAAGGGTGAAAACAAAAAGAGGAAAACACGTAAGAGATCAAACGGGCAGAAATTCGCTAAGCAAAGGCCAATTAAATCCAATAAAAAAGAGTTTATAGGCTGGGCGTCGAGACCCCTCGTTGAGTTCCTCAACTCAATCGGCAAAAGCACGACTGATAAACTGTCTCACCACGAAGTGACTTGCATTGTGAAAGAGTATGCAAAAGAAAATAAATTAATAAATCCAGGGAGAAAGAAATCGATAAAGTGCGATACACTACTGCATAATCTTTTCAGGAAAAAGACGATAGGTAGACACAGAATTCATGACCTTCTAGAAGGCCATTTTGCCGAAAACCAAGAAGAGTCTGACGAGGATGAGCTTGGATACAATTCAGAGTGCAGTGATGGAGACACTCAAAATGCCTGCAAAAGGCAAAGAAAGGTAGACTCAGAGAAAAAATCCCGAGAAAAGAAGGAAGAAATTAATGTGCCTCAAAGTCGTTTTGCATCGATTGGGGTTGAGAACATAAAACTGGTTTATGTGAGGAGGGGTGTGTTGAAGGAAATGCTTAAAGAACCTGAATCATTTGAAGAGAAGGTGACAGGATGCTTTGTGCGGGTCAAATCTGATCCGTATGATTATCGGTCAAGATTGTCCCATCAGCTCATTCAAGTCAAAGGTCAGTCTTCAAATACCCTTGATGAATCAGTTGTCAGTTGAAAATGGGCTGCTGTTTTAAACTTTGGTCCTAAAAAAGAAACTTTACTCATATAACATCATTAACTTTTGTAAAAATGCAGATCTCATTCCTTTTACCTACTTTATCTAAAAGAATAAAGCTACTTGTACAATTATTTTGTACAATTATTTTGTACAACATGATGTGTCATCATGTAGATAATTGAGATCCAAAAAAATGTGTGGCTAAGATTTGTTCAATGATTGTGATAACTAGTGTTGTCAACTAATATTGTCAACACTAGTTGTACATGTAGCATGACCCTATATAAAATATTTCTTAAAAAGGAGAAGGGAGAGGTGTTCCTTGAAAAAATTGCATTGCCAAAAATGCCCTTCAGGAACCCGAACGTATAGTTAATTTCTAAGGTCACTAATGTAATTTTATCCTAATATTTGGGAGTTACAATTATTAACATTCATTTTTCAATATAATTTTATTCTTCAATAAAATTAAATTGAAAAATAGTACTTATCATGTATAAAATGTTTAAAAATGATAGAAGTCAAAGTGCAATCCTCTTATATAACTAATATTTTTTTAAATTTAAAATATTTATTTATTTGATAAAAGAATATATAATCCAACAATAGAAATAGTTTTCACATTTTAAAAATTATTAAAAAAATGTTGTCCATCATATTATTTAATTTATCTCATAATATTGAGTTAATTAAATAATAAATTAATAACATTATCCTTTGTGGTTAATAAGGTTATCATTGCTTTTATTATTTTTTTGAGATAATAAAAAATTAGAAGATTCTGAATAATATTAATTTAAGTTCACATTTCAATAATATAATGCATATATTAATGCAGATAGTATAAATATTTTTTGATACTTTTGATTTATATATCATTTTTATTAATTTCAATACAAATAAAATAATAAAATTAGAAAAAAATAAAATAAAAAAATGCGATGAAATCATAATTGTATAAATCTAATTGTTATAAATAGTTGTCATTAGAATCATTTAAACGAATATAATGAATATGTTTACTTTATATTCAATGTCATAGTCAATTTTATTTGTAACCTTACTCATGCCATATAGTATATATATATTTGGTACTAATGTGTGTTTGATTTATTTATCGTATATTTTAATTATTTTAATCTTAGGACGAATAAAGTAATAAAATTAGAAAAAATAAATAACAAATATGCGACGAAATCAAAAATTTATTATATATATCTGACTCAAAATAGTTATCATTAGAGTCACTTAAATGAAAATAAAATGTTTACTTTACATTCGATGTCATAGTCAATGGTATTTGTAAGATTACTAATGCCATATTCATTCAATTATTATTTTTTTTTCTCCCGAAACGATAGAGGAACTATTATAAATCAAAACACACAAATGTGCGAAACAAAGATACAACGCTCCCAACGGGACAGGTCAGAAGACCGCCTAGATTCCCGCTAGCAATGCTATAATAAAACTCGAAATTAAACTGACCAACTAAGCAAACTAAAACAACTAAAAAGACCCCAACAGGGTAATATCCGAGTGTCGGATTCCACCAGGATAATAAATTTGACACCCGGGTGCACAGAGGCCAAACGGCCCAAACCAAAAACACAAAACTAAACACAAGAAATAAAAACAAAGAGAACTACCAACATAAAACCTAAACATACAAAGCCCTTCCCCGCGATATAACCGAACCTAGCACAAGGCACCANNNNATGACACGAAAGTCGGAAAACCCCTCCCACCACTGCCTAAAGCCTAGCAAGGAAGAGTCCAAGCCTTGAACCACACCACGGATGAAGCCGACCTACAGCCCAACGAGGATCGATCAGCCCCACCACACAGACCCGCTTCCTGCGACCCGACCAAACACCAATGGCCAGAATTCGGGCCTGTCGGGCATCCAACTCCACCGAACCAACAAGGAGGACACAAAGGCAAGAACCAACCCATCTCCACCCCAGCCAACGAGACTCAAACGAGTCGAGCCACCAAGATCGCTCCCTACCCCAACCACAAACACTCACCTTCTCAAAGACACCCACCACTAACCTGAAGCCCAACGGAAAAACTCCCAGCGGAAACCGGGCAGTGAAGAAGCCAACCGACGGCCAGCCACCATAGCCACGACACGGAGAACCCGAACTCAGAGCCACGACCGACGAGAAGGAAGCGGTGAGATCTGCCGACAGCTTGGGAAACTCCATCGGCGCAGAAGTGTTGGCGAGCGAGAAATTGAGGAGGGAGGATGAAGCCGAAGGTCCTTCGCCGACGAAAGGCCGGCTATTTGCCGGGGAAGGCGCGCGATTGTCTGAAAGACGAGCTGCGGCGACGAGGGTTTGAGGGAGAAGAAATTGGGGGTGAAAAAAAGTGTTTATTCCATTCAAAAATTGTTACATTTCACTTCTTTGAAAGCAATAATAATAATAATAATAATAATAATAATAATAATAATAATAATAATAGTAGTAGTAGTAATATTAATAATAAAAGAAAAAGTAACCATTATTAACAATATTATTATTAACAATATTATGATACTTGAGGCCTTGGCATGATGGAAAAATGGGAAAGATATATAAAATGTACCAACAAGGTGGATGATGTGCATCATCCCTGTTCATATAAGATCCAAAGTTATTTTTTTGACCAATGCGCGATATAGTTTGAAAATAAAAATATTACATAAAAGAATAATTAATTTATAATACATTGAACTCTTTTTAATGTTGAAGATAGTTTGAATTTCCATATAAAAAAGTAGTGGATATGTAATAATGTGTGATAAGCATTGGCTGTTTGTATTTTGTTATATATATTAAGCAACTTCGATCATAATAATTTTCACTAATATGTGTCAAATAATTTTTTCTATTTTATATCATTATCTATGTATTAAGATTGAGCTTGCAATCATACCTCAGCAGACTTTACTGACAACTGGGGCACAAACTACGCTCAACGGTCAACGTCGTAGGTCAACGGTCAAATCATTATTTAACCAATTAAACAAAATAAAAAGATTAAATCTTGACACACACCTTGTCTCTTATTTAATAGATATGATTAAGTCTCACATTCTCATTTTAAGAATAATGACTCATTTGATCTAATCCTTATATAGTATATATATTTATGTACAATATTTGTTTTTATATGTATTTCAGGAAGAAAAATAAAATAAAAAAGAAGTTGAGTAGCATACGCTTAAATTCCACAAGTTAAAAAAATAACATAATACTCTCTCACTGTAACAATGCGATAATCCGAAATATAGCATGAGAAAGTATCCAAACAACGTTAATTGGCTTTGAATTAAGATTAGAGTTGTTAAACGAAACGAGCCGCTCGTGAGCTCAGCTCGTCTCGTTAAGGCTCGAGTTTGGCTCGACTCGTTTGAGAAACGAATCGAGCTCGAGCTAGCTTAAAGCTCGTTTTGTTAGCGAGCTAGACTCGGCTATGCTCGAGCTCGGTAAGACTCGAAAAGAGAATATTTATATAATTTCTTATAGTTCGGCTTGTTAAAACTCGAGATCGACTCATTAATATTGATAAACAAGCCGAGCTCGATCGCGCTTTTTGACTTGTTTACTTAACTAGTCGAGCCAGGCTCGGCTCGTTAAACTGTAGGCCCTAATTAAGATACATTCAATATATATTAGCATAAAAATACGTTTATACCATGTTTATTATTAACGGTGAACTTAAATATTATTATTTGTAATCTTTTTTCTTAATAAGTTAGAAATAAATAAAAATCCTATTAATAGAATATTTGTTTTTTACATAAGGAAAAATATTTAAATTTAAAATTACAATTGTGTGTAATGCATAATTATTTTTGGTTTAAATCATTTACACAAATATATCAAATATAAGAACAAGAGAAAACATTCAAACGACATTGATTAACATTGAGTTAACAATCAAATCTAATTGCTACAAACAACAGTGTCACAAAGGTAGATATTATAAATAACGACACCAATGATCATGATTTCAAAAAATGATGTAGACAACATTACAAATGATAGATAAGCGAGACTTTGTTAGCAATCAACAATTACTGAAAATTTGATTGATTTCATTTTTGGATTTCTAACACAAAGTTATTTATTTATTTTTATCTAAGAATAACTTTTAATTAATACCATGAAATATAATGTTTCAGTGCCAATACATTTATATAACTTATTATACATGTGTTTCCTTTCATTTAAATTATATCTTTTAAATTATAGAAAATATTAATAATCATGTGCGTCGCGTGCAACTTCCTAGTCTACCAAAAACGTGAGGCCAATCCAGTTTTGTGACATTCTGTCATATTATTCCAAGCTTCACTTGGAACACATAATGGTTCGGATGACTGTAAGAGTTGTGCCAGGTGACTAAACTTTCTCATTACAGATTATTGATGTCTCTACTTTATTTTGAATTTTTCTATTTAGGTGTAAAAGCACTTCCAACAGAAGAGAACAGTGCAGAGGCTATCCTTTTACTTTCAGCTATGCCTGGAGAAATTCACATAAGTTTTCTTTCTGATGAAGATTTCACGGAGGTAATCTAGTTTCCTCAATTTATTCACTTTTTTCATCACAATAACCTCGCTGATGTGCCACAACATTTTTGTAACATTAAATGCTGGAGCATAAACTGAAATAGTACTTGTAGATTTTGAAATGTTCTTTTAGGAAGGGTGAGGCAGGTTTATTTTGTTTTGCATCTGACAAATTGACAGTTGAAATAGTAAAACAGTTACTGGGGTTCCAAATAAGTGTTTCTTGGAGGATGATATATCCATGAAGCTATTAAACACTATGGATTGTCATTCTAAAGAGGAGCTGATTTTTAATGTTTCTCATAAATCATTTCAGTCAATAAGTTCTCCTCGGGTAGTCCTCAATGGATATTAGTTCTAAAGTAGGTGAATTGAGCACTACATTTTGCTGTAAGATGGTAGTCAGATGCTGGCAGCCAAATCCTTACAGTTCATTTGGAAAGGTTTTAAGCGTTTTGACTCAACTAACAACATATTTGCTTAATCTTCAGTTGAAGCAGACAGATGACTTATGATAACATAATTTCCTCCCGGGTTTTCCTCTATTTTATTATCTATATTATGTTCGTGTGTCAAATACTTTCATCTTTTTGTTTTACAGTGCCATCAAATTTGAACTTTTCTAGAAAAAAAAAAATATTAATAGCAAAATATTATTGTTGGCCTGGCATTTCCAGAAGATATACCACCACTTGATAGTTAGCCTTCCAGCATTGTATATTCTTTAAACTTCCCTTGCATATGAAGTCTACCTGTATTTTTTAAATCAAATTAGGAAGATGCACGTGCTACGCACGTGATATTAATCATTTTTTCTTTACTTAAAATTGTTTTTATTATTAAATTTACATTTAAAAGTATAATATAATTTTCACTCCATTAGTTAATAAAAAATTGCTTATTTTATAATAATCAATAATAAATGTATTAAATAATGAAATATAATATTTAATACTTTTTACCAAACCGTGACATATAAAATTAAAAAAATATTGGTTTGAAAATCCACAGTAAAAATATTTTTTTTCTGTGAAATTTTAAATGCTAAAGAAATTTATGTCGCCTTTGATTTTGTTATTTAATGATAACTCATTATGCTTAAAAATAACAATCATTATCATTGTCATCATAATATAGTTTTTTAATGTCTTCTTTTTGTGTTATGCTCTTTGAAAATAAGTCGAATATGTTATAACTATCATTTGTAGTTATAGTTTTTCTTATTGTTGATTGAAAACTAACCAACTATGTTTGATTGTTTCATTCTCGATTATTTTCATCATAGTGGATGCTGAAATGTTTGAAAATGTCTTTAAAGTCGTGATTATTTCAAAAATAAAATTTAATTGAAAAAGATTAGGGACATTAACATCGATTAAATGTACCCATTTCTCTATATATATTGTCCAACATTTGTTGATTGAAGATACTCGTCTCATATGTTGTCCAACATAAATTATTGTTGATGGGGCGGTTCTTTAATTGGTTAAGGAACTTAGTGAATCGGCTCTGATGCAGATCTCCTAACATTACCATGCATGCATTACTATTTTTTGTTCACGAATTTTCAAGACTATCCTAAATGTGACAACATAAATAATTTTAATTTATATGAATTATAAAATGTTGATTCTTTCATATTTCACTTGTATCTTGATATTATTTTTTATATCTTCGTCAATACTTCATATAGTTCTTTTCTTTCTTTTCTTTTTTTATTTACTTTTGAGAAGTAATTTGAATCATTTAATTTATGAATTATATAAATATATATAATTGCAGGCTATTACATTAATGTAATTGCCTATCTTTTCCCGCTTAGTTTTTTAAAGTTATTTTTAGTATGTTTCACTTATCATTTTATTTGTGTTTTTTGTAATTAATATATAATATTTAATATAAGTTGTAACGGTCATATCTTAAAAACTATTATAATTGCACTTTTGTTAATTTGGTAAGTAAATAATCATTTGAATTAAATAATTTATATATATATATATATATATAGAAGTATATATCGATTTTTCCTTAGGAAAAAATTTATGAAAACAAATCATAACCATATCAATTATTTTGTTTTTTTTCATTTGTAGAGATACCATTATTAATTAAATTAATATATATATATATATATGATAAATAATCCTACGTATCTTTTCAAGACATCTTAATAATGTAAATTAATGTTAGTTTATAAACTTATATTATCTTTTATCAATTTTATTATAAATTAGTTTTTTAAGTGTTGTAAAATACCTAAAAAAATTTAGTTAGGTGTATTAATTGAGATGAAATGGTTCTTTATTTTTTCTACATATTTGTTTAAATGAAAAAAAAATATATATTCATATTTAATAATGACAAAATATTTTTCTTATAAAGTAATACAATATAATTACTTAATTATAAGTGAAAAATTATCAATGAAATAATCTAAATGTACACATATTTTATTGTATAAATATAGTATGTATATAATTTGTTCGATAATTCTCTGAAAAAATATGGTATATAAGATTTATATTGCCCATTTTATATTTTTTATTTTTTTACTTTGGTAATAATTTTATTATTAATACAACATTAATATAAAAATTAGATTATTCAGTATATTCACATAATAATAGTCATTAATATATAGGTTTTACATTTCTATTGTTCTTTTTTATCGAAGTATAAAAAGGTCTTTAATTTAATTCAATTATAAATACTATGGAGTAAATTTTTGTTTCAATTATGATTTTTATATGTAATATTTATTTATTTTTGGTAACATGTGCATGTGCACAAAATTAATGCTAGTTTTATAAATAAGAGTGGCTAATGACAACAAATTTAAAGCAAATGTACTATTTACTTTTATTTAGCATATTTTAATTGTAATATTTTTTAATAAGTACACATGTTTTGAAATTCAAGATTTAAAATAGAGTTTTAGTTATTTTAGTTAGTTTTTATAATTACTCTATTTTTATTTATATTACAATTAAAATAGATAGTAGATTAATTTATGTAACACATATTATCATAAAAGAACATTATGTTATACATACTGTTATTAACAGGTAAACTTAAATCATATTATGCATATTGTTTTATGAAGAATTATTTTTCATTCAATCATTCTTAAACATATGCATAGTCACAAAAATTTTTCCTCTTTAGTTTTTTTAATACTATAACAAAAAGTTTCTATAGTAATAATATGATAGTTGGAAATTAGAAATGATATTTTCATTGGTGCATTATATATTTTACACTTATAAAATAAAAAATATATTTTATTTAAATTAATATTTTTTCTTACATTTAAAAACTACCTTTAAAGTAACCAAATTGAATCCTAATGTCACATTTAGATTAATTCTGAATAATATAATCAAAAATAAATTATTTAAAATCTATATATTTGCGTAGATTAATCTGTTTGCATATATCTATTATTCAGTTAACGAATAACATTTTTTCACAAAAAAATGACAGTTTGTATGTTGAAAAATTTATTTTTCATTCAATCATTCTTAAACATATGCATATTCACTAAATTTTTCCTCTTTAGTTTTTTTTTTTTAATATTGTAACAAAAAATCTCTATAGTAACAATATGATAGTTGGAAATTGTAGATGGTATTTTCATTGATGTATTATATATTTTACACTTATGAAATAAAAATATTTTATTTAAAATAATATCTTCTCTTACATTTAAAAACTACATTTAAAATAACCACACTAAAACCTAACGTCATACGTCATATGTAGACTAATTATGATTAATATAATTTAAAATATATTATATATTTAAAATCTATCAATTTGCGTGGATAATCTTTTTGTATGTGTAAAAACTTTAAGATATAATTAAGTATAAAAAATAAAAGATAATGAATAAAAGTAAATTAAGAAATGAAAGTTTAAAAATTTAAAAAATATTGTTAGTTGTAACTTCTTAACATTAATAGAAAAATTACATTCATAACCTTAAACTTATCTTTAGTAAGGGCATTCTTGGCACTTCAAAAGTTTCAAGAAACTACTCATCCTTTTAAGGGAGTTAATATTATTGTTATTATTATTATTTTTATTATTATTATTATTATTATTATTATTATTATTATTATTATTATATTATATATATATTATATTATATAGATAGATATAGATTATAGATTATAGATATAGAATAACAACTAACAAGTCACTCTCTTGTTGCAGGAAGAATGTGAAGAATTAAGAAACAAAACTTTAGCTGGGGAGATTGAGAGGCCTACAGTGGTGAGTACTATAACTTTGGTCGGCAAAGATATTTCCGTTTCATTTGCAATGTGTTGGTTATATTGTTGTATCCATGCAACTTTATTTGCATGACTGAGATGCAATTAGAATTTTGAAGAAAAAGATAAATTTGGTTTAGCTCAAGTCACCTCTTGGTATGAGCGCTGGATTTTGTTGGAAGATTTTCATAGCATGTCACATCCTGTTTGGAGTTACTCCAAATATCAGTTTCAACGCCTTATGGATACAGTTTCTGCAGGCCAGTTAATTTTTTACTAAACATTAGATGCTGAGCCATAGGCAATGCTACACGTACAATTGTAGTTTACAACATTAGTTGACAACATTAGTTTAAAGTATCATTAATTCAAATCTTAACCATACATTTATTTGCATCTCAACCACCCACATTACATCATGTTGTCAGTGAATGTTGTACAAAAAAGTTGTACAAGTAGCTTTTTCCTTGATCCATATATGCTTATTAAGTTTTAATATTGGAAAGATTGCAAAAAGTACCAGTAAATAAGAAATCTAGAAAAACACTAAAAAAGCAGATAATAGCCTTAAATGCTGAAGCTAAAAATAAAATAGATAGAGAACCCTTGGAAAACTAAATAAAATTTGGAAACACAAACTTAGAAACTGGAAACTAATTGTATATACTTGCATTTTGAAAATATTTCTCCCACTATGGATGCAAATCAAACTTTTCTGTATATATTCGCATCTTAGATATGTTGGTTGAGCACAAGTGTTTTCATGACTAAAAATGGGCCTTGAGGCTACGTGTTTGCGACAACCAAGCGTCGCAAGTACGGCACCACGGAAAAATTAGGTGCAATTATGATATGTGAAATCGTTATCTTTTGTCTGTTCTACACTAACAACTCTCGTCTCAAAAAATATATCCGCTATTCACAACTTCTTTTACTTAAAATTACAAGTGTTGCTATATAAATGCAAGATGGTAGTTTCAGTGAGTTCCATGATGAGTTGACCTTAACTATGTTCTCTTCTGCAGGAGTATCTCCAACAGAAAGTGAATGCTATTCATAAGGACGTGACAAATTATGTATGCTTCTCATCTTTTTCTTGCTTTCTAAGCTCCATGATTATTACATTCCTGCATTCAAATTTCCAGTTTCACCATCATAACCTGTTTATTCCAAATAAGTAGGTATTTTTGAATCGGTATAATTTTTTTTTTAATTATATTTTAGAAATTTGTTAATTATGTCTCAAGAGGCGTTCAAATTCACCCAAATTTCACATTTCTCGAACTACATGCTCTATAATTTAATTGTACTTCTCCTTCCTGTACTTGTTGTCCACTACTCTTTGCTTTCAATTGAAAAGAATCATTCATATGTCAGAGCTACTAAAGTTACTTCGAAATTAAATCAAATTGCTAATATATGGATTTAATGAAACTTATTGCAGTGTATCCGTAAAGAACTGAGATTGCTGCACAATCGCATCCAGCTAGCCAATGAGAAAGGACGGAGACGAGAATATCCTTTTATGAGTTGCTAAGAGCATGATTGGATACAAATTCAATCCAAAATTTTTTTTCACTTTTAACTCAACCACTTTTTTTAACTCAACTTTAACTCAACTCACTATCATCAATATTATCAATATAATTAAATAATATCAATCAATCATTCTTACACACAACATCAACCTTAATTCACTATTCATCTACTCACATAAATTTAACTATCACATCACATTTTCTCTCTCTTACTTTTACATCAATTTAATTTTAATCATTTTATTTTAAATATTATTTTATTATATCCACTAACAATTAATCATACCTACTTTTTCAAATTTAACCAACCCAAATAAAAAATCCAATCAAAACAAAAACAACTTGCAGGTATTAAAATCCAATCAAATTTAACCATACCTACTTTTTCAAATTTAACCATACCTACATTTCATTTCATGAACTCCTTTCGTGCCTCCATAAATAACACGGATTTTGGATTTACCGATATTAAAATATTAGTGTCTTGAAGGTATAACTCGAATTGGTTGCAGGAAAGTCCTATAGTTTACGTGCATAAACAACATAGTAAGCGTGCATGATTGTTCTAATTTGCATGCATGACCACTACTGTAAATCTCAATTAATTTAATTTGCAATGATAAAAGTAGGTGACTTAATTCTGAAATAGTTCAACTTAAAACGCTTGTGGATGAGTATTACTTAAAATTATCTAGAATGTAAATTTATTTTCAACTCTTTAGGCTATAAACTGTGAAGTTTGCACAATTTTTATTGTTATTATTATTTTCTTTTTTAGCATGGTTTAGTCAGATCATAATTTGTTCTTTTATGATTTGTGGCTTTAACTATATAGTCTCCAAGCTTTTCGACTACTTAGATAGGAGAAGGATACTTCAATCTCCCGCTGAGCAGGCACGGTTGCTCGAAAATGTGCCGACAGTGATGCCGGATGCATGTGAACCTGATGAGTGTGACGTAAAGAATGACGAACAAGGCTCGCCAGACACATCATCAGGTATGCTTGTTGATAAAGTTATAATAACCATGCTATTTAAATTCTGCTCAGGCGCCATCTTCAGTAATCTGTACAAAATTCGACACTAAAGCAGTGCAAAATCTCTGTGGCCCCTCTCCAAAGATTTGCACTATCGAAGAAGAATATTTCCGTTTCGAGCATTTTACAGATTTTAGTCTGGACATTTGATAATTCATTAGTTGATATGTAATAGAAATTTGTTTTGTCATTTCGCCAAAATATATTGTATTGTATTTAATGTTAACAGAAGAAGCTACTCAGCATGACCGTGCATCTCCTTCTGGAAAGAAGCTGTTCGACAAGCAGGCCAAAGGAAAAGGACAATACTGTCCAAATAATCCGGTCGTTGATGTGGACTCTGACTCTGGAGATGAAGATGGAGATGGAAGTCCGGGATCACCAATCAGAAAGTAAAGGCTGACCTGGAAAATGAGAGAAGGTGAAGAAGAATAGTTATGGTTTTGTTGGGGGATTAAAAATGTAAAAAAAAAATAATAATAAAAAATATTTTGAAGGTGGATAGTTGTTTCTAATTTTGGTTCTAATGAACTATGCCAGAGTTTTGGTGTTGTGTTTTGGGAGTATGAAGTCTGATAGATGACTTGTATTTTTGAGCCAAACAAAGACAAAAGATGAACAAGCTGCTGCTGGGATATGAATTTATTTATAATTAAAAAGATCACTGCTTATCTTTTTGTTGGTTTATTTATTTATTAGTTGGCATTTTTATTATAGCAACTAACTCTGTCGCATTGATATTTGATAATCTACAATTAGCAACTATTTTAAAAGAGTAAGTTACTGAAATTTTTCAATTGCCAACATTACCCTATACTATAAATAATCTTAAATGTCACTAATGTAATCTTTAAAGTTACCTTATAGACTGCACAAATGCTCCACGTGAACAATCAAAAGTCCTGATAATTACAACAATGTCGCGACCCTTTTAACTAAAGCTTGACTGTCCACATAATTACAACAATTTCGCCACCCTTTTAACTAAACCTTGATTGTGTTTGGAACGTTGATATATCACATCCGACCACTATATTTATCTTTATTTGGCCTAATTGCCAGTAACACGACCTTACACGTTTTGGCAATTACATGCACCACCTTCAAATTTGGTAAATATATACGCCACTTTGACTATTGTTGGCAATTCGAATCACAGGGCCCGATTTCGGAGTTGAGGCTCGAACTTGGGACATCAAGATTGCATGATGGCATTGTAACCACTACACCAATCCGATTTCTATGTTAAATTTAACAACGGTTAATATGTATAGACATTACATATGAATAGATCAAATTAAATTTTAAAGATAATATAAATTATTTTACATTACATTAATAAGATATAAACTTATAATAATTAAAACATAACAAGTAATAAATGAAAAATAAACTAAAATTATATAAATTGGTTTATTATATTTTAATTATTATAAGTTTATACCTTATTATTATAATTTACACTATCTTTAAATTTAATTTAATTTATTCAGACGTAGTGTCTATATATATTAGATGCTATTAAATTTAAAATCTAACTTGGATCAATGTGGTGGTTTACAATACCATCATGTAACCCCAGCGTCATTCTTCTATTTGAACATTCCGAGCAAAGTTTCAAAAAACAGTTTTTCTCCGACAAGTGATGGCTGGGGAAACAGGAAATTCAGGAAGTGGTTTCGAATGCGTGGGCTCCTAACCAGAGTGGAACTAAGATGTACCAATCCAGACTGAAACTCAAGGAGGTCATGCTTGCTCTTCTGAAATGGAGCAGAACTTTCAAAACAGAAAATGCCAAAATTATTGAGTCAGCTACCAGAGAGCTCAAAATTCTCAGAAGCCAAGGGGGAGATAGAGATTGGCCGAGATGGAACCAATTAAAAGGACATTTAGCTAAAGCTCATAAGGAAGAAGAACTATTCTGGTCTCGAAAATCCAGATTACAATGGCTGAAGGAGGGTGACAAAAAACACGAAATTCTCCAACGAAGAAAATCCAATGCCATCTGCAAACTCATCCGACATGACAACTACATATGTACTTCAAAGGATGAAATTGAAAAGTGCATCACTGGCTTCTATTCTCACCTATTCAGTTTTGAAAGTACTTGGGTGGCAAATAACTCTCTTGACTGTATTCATGGAAGGATCACTGAGGCTGAAAATGAATCCCTTATTGTGCAAGTGGAAAAGAATGAGATCAAAAGGATACTTGATAGCATGAACCTCAATAAAGCCCTGGGCTTGATGGTATATCCCCTCTTTTCTATCAAAAATTCTGGCCTAATGTTAAAAATGATCTTTGCTTAGCCATTAAGAGTTTTTTTTTTTTTTACTCTAACCATATCCTTAAAAGCTGGAATCATATTGTTCTTACTCTTATTCCTAGGTGCAAAAATACATTTGTTGTTAGTAATTTCAGACCTATTAGTCTATGTGGGGTCCCTTGTAAGATAATCTCTAAGACTTTAGCATTCGGACTTAAGCATTACCTTCATCATTGCATATCTGAAAGTCATGCTGCTTTGATCTCCCATAGACACCTGATGGATAATGTGATTCTTGCTAATGAGGTTGTCCATTTTCTGAACAGGCATAGATTAGAGAATAAATTTTATATGGTTCTTAAGCTTGACATGACAAAAACTTTTGATAGAATTGAATGGGATAGCATCAGGTTAATCGTGTACAAAATGGAGTTTCACTGTAAATTCATTAATTGGGTCATAGCCTGTGTTTCCTCTACTGCTTTTTCATTTAACATCAATGGTACTATCAGTGGTAATGTAACTCCTACCAGAAGAATTAGGCAGGGAGATCCAATCTCCCCCTATATCTTCATTATTGCTGTTGAGTTTCTTTCAGGACTCATTGCTAAAGCATCCTCAGAAGGATCTCTCCTAGTTATCAGGATCTCCAAAGGTAGCCTAAACATATCTCACCTACTGTTTGCGGATGATACCCGGCTTCTATGTCATGCAACTCCTCAAAATGCTAACACTATACTGCAGATCCTTCAAACTTACCAATTGCACACTGGACAAAAAGTGAACATAGAAAAATCCTCAATTGTGTTCAGCAAAAATACCCCAGAAAGCCCCCGAAGACAGATATGCACTATTCTTCAGGGAATTCAGATTTAACTTTCCACAAAATATCTTGGGCTACCCATGCAGATTGATAAATCCAAAAAGGACACATTTGCCTTTGTCCTTGATGTGGTGAGAAGTAAAATCTCTAGCTCGAAAAACAAATATCTTTCTGCTACAGAAAGAGAAGTTCTGATTAAGTCTACTCTTTGTGCTTTACATGCCTTTGTTATGTCTTGCTACTCACTACCTACTGGCATTTGCAATGACCTCTCTTAGATAATAGCCAGATTATGGTGGAACAAGGGAAACTCGGATAAAAAGAGAATACATTGTAAAAGTTGGGACCATATTACATTAACATTAGCTGAAGGAGGCCTTGGTTTTCCTAACCTTAAACTGTTCAATGAAGCCCTCATCATGAAACAACTGTGGACAGTACTCACCAAACCAAACCTCCTTGTCAGCAAAGTGCTCAAAGCTAGATACTTTCCAAACTACTCTCTTTTGGATAGTAAAGTATCCCAAACCAGCTCATGGCTACGGAAGAGTTGGATGCAAACAAAAGCAAACTTCGTTGAGGGGTTTTTTTTATTGAAATTGGAGATGGCAAAACCACTAGAGTATGGGAACACCCTTGGATCCCCTCTCTTCCATCATTCACGACACTCAACCAAATTCCCCAAAACCCTCCTTCTGACATAATCTGGGTTTCTCAACTTATGCTTGTTAATGATGGCGGCTGGAATGAAACTTTGATTAGGACCTTATTCTCAAAAACTGAATGTCAAGCCATCCTTATCTTAGTTTCTCTATGTTTTTAGTTGTTAGATTGTTTGCTTTTTTCCCTAGCTAGGCTCTTATGGTCAGTGGTTAGTTGTGTCATTTTACAGCTGCTACAAGGTACTCTTGGCTTCAGTACACTCTACTGCCAAGTAGCTCCCTTGGATCAGCTATGTACATTTTTTCCTCCTGTTTTTTAGTCCCTCCTGTGAGG